ATTGGTTGGAGATCTGTCAATTCGTCCTCCGTTCGTAAGACGGCGGACGAATTGACAGATCTCCAACCAATAGAAACACTTTCGTATCATCGTACAAACGGATGCATGGGACACGGGCTTTTGCCCTGAGAATTCTCGGGGTTTTTCAGTTTCGAAAGAGAATTTACTGAGTGAGTTGCATTTTGCTTCAAAGTGTTTCAAGTTTCTCGAGAGGTTCAAGCTCCTTCCAGACATCTGAGGTTTGAAATCGTGTAAGATTCCACACTTTTAACAGCTCTGGGAACAACTGGTTTTCATAAAAGTTGCAGATTGAGAACCAATGGAAAAGCTCATGCAATTCAAAACTGTGTATTTTTTTTTTATCGGTCTGGACCTTTTCATTACCCATCACCCCCATATCTAGAATCCATCAACAAACCATCATGCGCAAAAAGTAAGCAGCGCCGGCCAAAACCCAAGGCAAGAGCCGAAAAAGCAGAATCTTCCCCAAGCCGTATGCCAGAATGGTGATCGCTATAAAGCTGAGGACGAAAATGTTCCTCAAGCGCTTGTTCCGCTTGATGGCCGCGGGCACGGTGCTGATTGGATCCTTTGCAATGTAAATTCGCAGTCCCCTCATCTGCTGGACAAAGTAGTCGTGCCAGTTCAGCTCTTTGATGTTGAAATTGAACATTTCCCTGTCCTTGAAGGACATTTTCTTCAGCATCTTGTGGCGGTTCTCGATGTGGAAGTAGAACGAGTGGGTGGTGAAGTACTCGTAAGAGTCTTGGACCCTGTGCAGCTTCTTCATCGCTGCTCCCAATCTTGAAGATTGCAAAAGGAAAATAGTCCAGTGAGGGATTGTGGGGCGTTGGGTCTTACTTGGGCGTTTGGCCTTTCAGTTGCACGAACATATCGACGAAAAAGGCCAGCAGTGTGTGCAAGATGAACCGCCAGAGCAGGTAGTTGGGCTTGCAAGTAGTGAAGAAGAACAGCGGGTACATGAGCGATTTGGACAAAGGAATTATCTGGGTAGCACAGTGTCCATACCAGAATATATCCTCTGGAATGAGACCAATGGTTAAAGGCGATCGCCCGCAATGGCTGCCCGATGTATTTACCTAGTTGCATGGGGTTTTCCGGACTGCTGCACATGTGGTAAACGGGGATTTCTGTTCTCGGATTTTTGAAGTTTCTAGAAATGGTAGTTTTTGCCGTATTTGCGTCAATTGCGCAAATTGGTTTCGAACCAAAATGGCACTTCCAGAAGCGCCTACACTGTTACAGGCTTTTGGAAGCGCCATTTCTTTCCGATCCAGAACAACAGGGTTTTATTTGGAAGGGAAAATGTGAAGGTCTTACCCCGCCGTGTGCCAACCAGCGGCAATGCACTCGTTCACCAGATAGTCGGCCGGTATCAGATCGACAACGCCCCTTTTAAAGTACGAGATTCGACATATCCCCAAAGCGTTCACGACTGAAAAGGCGCCCAGCGAGTAGGGACTGTCGAAGAAGGCGGCAAGTGGTTCTTCGGCCGTTGCCATCACTAGAGGCAAATCCGCGGTTTTTTCCAGTTGTGGTATGGTTACAAAACTCACCTACAGATGGTCTGCAGATGCAGATGGGAATATCTTGCGCCTCTCTACTGATGTAGTCTTCAGCCACTTGTTTGGTGAACGTGTAGTTGTTGGGCCAATCAGCGATTAATCTGGAAATCCACCAGTGACTACGACGCAAACTGACTCGATAGGCGATAGGTCTTACGTTGGGTTGATGCTGGCAAGGGTGGCTTCGTCAAGGGCCTCGCAGGCCCCGATCAGGTTTTCTGCGGAAATCTTCGCCGGATAGACTTGCTCTTTGATTTCCTTCCGGTTTGAGTTGGAGTAGGCGGTTCCTACGTAGACAAACGCCTGTGGAAGAGGCGCCCTTTTGAATGCAGCTGTTGTTTACCCCCTGCACATCTACCTTGATTTTCTTCAGTTTCCTTGCAATGTATATCAGGTCCTTGGTGGCTCTCACGTTCAAGAAGGTGGCCGACTTGATGGGTTCCTCAAAGCGCACATTGGCCGCGCAGTGGAAAATTACACTTACTTCTTCCTGCAGCCTCTCCACGTTCTGCTGCGACATTCCCAGCATGGGCAGTCCGCAGTCGCCGTGCACAGCTTCCACCTTGCTGAATACATCCGGGTGGCTGCGCTTTAGCACTTGGAAAATCTAGAATAGAAGCGGTTAGAAACCACGGCAACAGCTTCCCTTGAGTCCTACTGGAGACGCGAAAATCGTTTGGAGTCTAGTCGCAGGCTCTGCATTCTTCTTCGAGCGGATCAGCAGGAACACTTTCTTGATGGGTAGCGCCCTTAGAATCTTCTCCAGCAGCAACTTTCCTATGAAGCCAGTGCCGCCCGTCAAGAGCACAGTTTCGTTCTTGTAGAACTGTTGAATGTCTGTTAATTCGATCTGAGCGCCCTGCATGGTGGCCTACAGTGGATTACCTGGACTTGCAATGGAAAAGGGGCAGGTGGTGTGCATCAAAATGACCTTTCAGGACCTGCAAACAATGGCATTGTGTGCAAATGTGCTTAAACAATCGCTTGCCAATCAGTGACGATTATTATTATTATTTAGTATTCAAGTGGAAAAATAGGTCAATTTTCATCCGAACGTTAGATGGCTAAAAAACATAGTGAGACATATCAGAAGTATGGGAAATATTAGTTGAGTGCAAGTAAAACAACAGTTGAACATGTACAAATTAACGATTTATTGGTAGATACCCTGCAACCCCCAGAGCTCCAGTTCACTCTAATTCATCACTGTCGGGCCTGTTCTTGCAAAAGTCGCGCAAAAACTTAAATACAGCGCGACTCAACGAGCCCTGAGTGACAAAACCATTCACTTCCTTCTCGTAGAACGTTTTGCCTGCTCCAATCGCCTCTTTTCTCTGAGCATCGCCTTGCAGAGCTATGAAAGTTTCCTTGACAAACTCGAAAGCTAATTGGTCGCTCTGGAACACCCCCATCAGGAAATCGTAGTCCAGAATCACTCTGAGTGCGCTTAGAGCAGTGGGGATGCGTTTCCTCGAAGCAACAGTAACAAAATGCCACCTTTCATGCAGCACCAAAAAGCGCAAGGCCATGCGAAGAGTCCCTTTAACGTTAAACTCAGTTTTGGAGTTTCGGTGCAAATGAATCAACATCCGAGATGCGTCTTCAATTAAGTCATCGTCATCCGGCACCCGCACTAGACTTGCCTGTTCACAGAACTTCTCGTCGGCCTCCAATTTTACGACCCCCAACAAGGCCAAGTGAAAGATGAAAGTTTTGTAAGGATTTTGCAGGATTTCTCTCCCATAGTCCTGGCGCATAATTTGCAAGACTTCGTCGTCCGTACTGTTGCAGCTTCGAGATAAGGTTAGCAGCACCCTGAAGTAGCACGCAAGCAAATGCGTAGTGCTGCCTGCGAGTTTTACGGCGTGCAACATCAGGCAGTTGAATATTTCGCTGGTCCTGGCCTGCGAAATGCTGCTATTGAGCACACGGTGCAGCAGAACAGAGAGAAGTTTCTCCTGTAGGAACTCTGGAGGATTTTGGGAGAGAACCCGCTGCACCACCCTGCTCAGCGCCTCATTGCTGCTGTTGAGGACCAAAAAAGGCAGGTAGCTGTTGAGCCACATTCTCTGCTTGTAATCCTTGAAATCCAGGCAGTTTTTCTGGAGGATTCCCAAGGCACTGTCGAACGACTGCACTTTAACCAAAAGGCAATCAAACAGCTGGGGCAAGTTGAGTTTTTCCAGGAACACCCGCAACTCCCGAAGGCTCTTCCACATCTGCAAATGCTGCCCGCTTTTCGCGCCGCTCAGCGAGTACTTATCAAGCAGCTCCTCCAACAGTACCAGGAAATTCCTCAAAACGTGCCTGCGGCGAATCCTGCTGAAGTCGCCCAGAAGAACTTCAACGATGTCCTGGACAATACGGGGTATGTGTTGGATGCAGCACAACGAAACAAAAGCCTTGGCCGCAAACACGCCATAAACGTCGCAGCGCTGTTTGATCAGCATTTGGAAAAGCTGCTGAAATGACGCTTGGATCACGATGGGCAGAGGCTGGGGTTTCACTTGAGACTCGCAGAAGAACTGCAGGACGGCCAGGGCCGAATCGGTCAAGGGCGATCTGGTCAGGACCTTGGAAAACTCCATCGCTAATTGCGGGAATAGCTGGAAGAGTTCGATGACTGATCGGGAGCGGCTGTTTGGCCCCGTCACTACTCCCAGGAATCTATCAATTAGGGCCTTCTCTAGTTGCATGCATGCGTTCCTGTGAAACAAGCAATCGCTTAGAAAATTTCCTAGATCCTACCGAGGCAAGTGACTACCTGACTACCCAATTTCGGTTTTCAAAGTGTGCCACGCACTGCAGGATCACGGCAGACGCATAGGAAAGAGTGTCCGCGTAGATCTGGTTGTCTGAAATGAGGAGCTCCATGCAATGCATAGCGGCAGCCACTGCAGAGTCGCCGGCTTCTTTATGGTCCAGCAGATAGAGCAGGCGGACCAAAGTTGTGTTTAACAGGGCCTGAAAAAGGTCGAGCAGTGGAAACATTGAAGCTGCTCTATAAAGTCTCACCTTCTGTCGACTGGAGTCCGATAGGCAAATCGCATGAAGAATCAGCCGGGACTCGGGATTCCGGCGTATGGTCAGATTCTGTACTGGAGAAGCCCGCTCCAGCTTCAGCAGAGTTTTATGCAAAAACACCGTTTTGAAACTTTCCCATTGCTCCTGCTGGTCCCGGCCTGCAAGCGGATCCGACAAGAATTTCATCTGGCTCCTTCTGTCCCCCATCAGGAAGGCGTGTTTCAGCAAACTGGCGCTTACCGTTGTGGATCGACGCAGGCTGGATTTTTCGATGACTCCCGCCAGAGCTTCCACGAGCTTCGCATAGTCGACCACGACCCAAATTTGGAGATTTTTCAAAAAATATTGGCACAAGTTCTGAAAAAAATCGCCTACATAAAAAGCCCCGACTTTGCCCAAGTGTAACTCACGTCATAAAGCGCTTCCATGGCTTTCTCGCATTTGACTTCCCAACTAAGGCGCTCTTCTTGCATCTGTGCGGCTACCGCGGGAAAAAACACAGTCGCCAACCACTCAGGAAAAGCCGCATTCCCATCGCAAATAGGCAGCTGATTTAGAGCCTCCAGCAGCAGCGCCGCTTTAAACATCTCGTGCACAGATTGACCTTCTCCATTGAACAGCTTCATTAGTCGTGTCTCGAGGTCTGCTTGCAGCAAGCTGTTCCCATTTGAGGTTTCTTTGGAGTTCACTGAGGCAATGAAACAGGCCACATTTTTAACAGAATTTGTTGCCTGCAAATGGCTGGGTTGACCATAATAAAAACCAGGACTGAAAAAGGGACTGACCTGGATCGATAGAGCTCCGCTTCTTTCATCGATAAGATGGAACATGACGTCGCTGCTGATGATGGTGGGCGCTTCCACAACTGACGCTGCTAGTCGGCTTAGGGCTTCAGAGCTTCCGTCGGGGACCAGCAGGGATTTTTCCAACAAGGACTTGAAATCTTCACTGTCGATCTGCTCGGAAAGTTTGCTTGCGTTGGTGGTCGGCTCCGATGTGACTAAAACTGAGCGTTAATTTTAATGGAACTTGTCGTCATCCAGATTCTCTTGTATAATTACCGTTCCATAACGGCGCTAGAACCTGCGCAGCCAACTCCTTGCGGCCTCCCCTCAACTCGGCTCTGGCCCAAAAGAACGTTTGCAACAAGAACCGGTTCAAAGCGTCCTTATCGTTCTCCAGCACTTTCTTGCTTAGCAGAACGTTGGCAATGTGGCCCAAAATGACCCTCAATGCCCCAACTTCCTTCGGACCCAGAATTGCGCAAGTTGCATCTAAGTGTTGCCCGATGAAGTGCAACTCAGCGGCTGTAGGCAAAGCGGCCGCTTTGAAGTGACCGCAGACTATCTGGAACGCTAGGGGGCGCGTATCTTGGCGCGCAAAGATTCTGTTGAGGAACAGCATGTCGGGTTTGCTGTAGCTGGGCAGCAGGAATTTTCTCTTTGCCTCCAGTAGCACGTGCGCCTTCAACGTGTCCTGCAATGGGGCGCTGAGTACAAAGCTGGAAAAGTGCAGCTGGTATTTGGCGACCGTCTGGGGGATCCAGTACTTCAACAAGCTCTGGTAGAACTCCCTAAAACAGGTTCGAAAGAGAGAACGCACTTTGATACCATGCATGCATACCCTTGGCAGCTCATTGCCTGGAGCTTGGCGAAGAATTGCGGCCACACCAAGTCCGCCCAGGCCTCAAAGCCTTCTTTCAGTCGACTAAGGACGACGCTGTACAGAGCTGAGGCTTCGCGATTTTCAATGTTATTTTCGAACATTTCCAGGATTCTGCTGATGGTTTTCTGGAAATCCATCGTCCGGATGTAGCGCGCTAGTTCACTGGTGGGAATCCCTCTTACGGGCAAACCAGTTAGGAGGCTGGAGATCTGTGAGGGACTGGCAAAGGGTAAGGCCCGCTTGGCAAGTTCCTCTGCCCGCTGTTTAAAGCCGCTGAGCGGCGCTAAGCTCATTAAGGGAATGGCGGCTAGTACATCAGCTGCAACGCTTTCGTCCCAATGCAAATCAGGCAGGTGGGCCAGCAGCCTTAGTAGATGTAAGGACTCCTTCCTATGGGGCCGAAACAGCTCCAAAGCCTTTCGTGGGAGCAAATTTCCCGTGGCCTCTTCAAGCAGGCCTCGACTACGGTGTCTCAATGAGGAGAGCACCAGCAGCTGGCACCACCATGCGTCCTTAACGAAGACTTTGTGCTGTTTGTCCACGTAAACCGAACGGTTTACCCTGATGGAGTCCAAGAGGAGTAGAATGTCCTTGATGGAGGCTTCGTTGAGGGTCTGGTGAGTAAACAGCAGCAGATCTTCCAGCTCCTGCTGGACTAGCGCCGTGGGGTTGAGCAGGAATATGTATGCTAGAGCGCTGGCCTGGTCGCCGTCCACCTGGGAAATCAATGGTTCGGAGTTTGTTGAGGGGAGTTAGGTGCGAAAGGTCTCTAGTTTTAGAGGGAGGCATGTTACCCACCATCGGGCTGTCTATGCTCATGTTTTGTGGTGAAGATTCACTGTATATTTGGCGGATTTCGGCGTTCTGTTGAATTTTCGTTTAAAGTAAAATTAAGTAAAGCACGTTCAAGGAAAACAAATGCGGATGGTCCATAAATTTGCAGAAAAAAACACTAACAAACTTTTGAAAATCATGTTCATACGACCCGGCATTTATCGTTGAAAATGCGATTGCCCAGTGCTGTATACCGTTAAATCATGTTTTAAGATGTAACAATCCCTGATTCGACACACAAAATTTGACCTATGATCCCCTGCAGGAAAATGTTTGCAAAATTTTGAGCCCTATTTCAAACCTAATGATTGATTGCGGTTATGTTGGTCACGTATTCTTCTTATTTTGGGCGTTGTATGGAATGACTTCAGACTGAATCCAATGTTGCCACCCATGCATAACTATTTAGACTTGCACTTTCCGAGAAGAGAAATTTCCTTTAAATAACTGGAGAAAATATCAATCAAAATCAAATAAATGAATTAAAAATGAACAATGAACCTACACGAACCCAAATTCAACCCATCTTTAAACCTGACAACATTAGAACTAATGGGTTTTTCGGGTTTTTAAGCCGCCGTTCGGTAGAATTTCTTCTTGACGTTTCGCAAGCACGAGTGGCTTGCATCTTCAGAAGTGGTTTGCTTGAACGTTTACACCGTTTTCATCAGAACCCGCGTTCAGTTCTGCGGAAGAACTGATCAAAACGAAACGTCAAGAAGAAATTCTACCGAACGACGAGAATGTATTCCTCACGTTTCGCAAGCACGAATGGCTTGCATCTTCAGAAGTGGTTTGCTTGAACGCTTACACTGTTCTCATCAGAACCCGTTCAGTTCTTCCGCAGAACTGAACGCGGGTTCTGATGAAAACAGTGTAAGCGTTCAAGCAAACCACTTCTGAAGATGCAAGCCACTCGTGCTTGAGAAACGTCAAGAAGAAATTCAACCGAACGACGGCCTAAAAACCCGAAAAACCCATTAGTTTCATGGAATGGCCTCGAAAGTCTATCTCTCTTACAACATTAGTAGTGAGTAGTCTGTGCTAACCCAAACTCACAGCACACACGAAAGTATACTATTCCATTTATTTATAACGATTTCGTGCAGTCTGGCAACACTGCACAAAATATGGGCACAATATGGAGATTTTATTAAATTTTGTAAATGTTTTCTAGCATGATGCTATGGACAATCCGCATTTTTTTTTCCTTGAATGTGCTTTATTTTAAGTGTACTTTAAAGGAAAATTAAAAGGAACTCCGAACTCCGCCAGATATGAAGATAAAGTGCACCTTCACGGCGTAGGAAACTGTTAACGGCGGTTGGTGCTCTCTTTGAAGTGAATAAGTCGAACTAAAATCGTCGGCAGTACCCTCTGAAGGAAATAGGTGAAACTAGAGAGTGGAAATAGATTTCAACTTTCCTCGAGAATAATGATTGTTCCTTAAGAGCGGAAACTGTACTTGTCCTCATCTATGAGCGGAAACACTTGCATGGATGGCTCATTGATGGCGGCAATGCGACTCAAGTGTCCTGGCACTTTGAAGGAAATCCAAGGAAGTGTATAAAATGGCCGCCTTTGATCGATAACAGAACTGTGTTTTCTATAGATAATTTGTGTGTTTTGCTTGGAAAAAATCAGTGAAAACGTGCGAAAAACTCCGAGTGCGATGTGTGCCATCCAACTGTTCGGTTCGGGCTGCGGCCAGTGACCGTTGTTGCCAAACAGCGTGTAAATAATGTGTTTATGTAGAGATTCGAGGTGAGTCTGGCCGTTCAGCAGTTAATGGAGGCTGCAAATTTGCATTCAACCGGTCAGTGACGTGGGGCACAGCCCTAAAGCCACCAATCCCACATCCGGGGGCAGGCCCGAGCCTCGCAGGCGTTAATTAATTATCCTAATTGACGTGCCTAATTAGCGTGTATGTACTAACCGATGTGGAGGGGCACCAGTTCATTCCTCAGCTAATTTACGACCGTAAGCGCCCTTTCAGGGCGCTTTGAAGTTTATGCGGTTTTGGGGAGGTCAGAGTTGCTTTTGTTGAAGGCCAGCAAGGGAGCGAAGCGAATAGGTTCTTCTGCCCTTCATTAGGACTAGCTTTCTCCTGCCACTAATGTTAGCCAAGTTTGATTTAGGTGTTTTAATTAGTATTCGTCGGATTACTGTTGCAGTTCACAACAGGTTTTAATTAGTCTGAGGATCCGGAACAAAACGCAGATCGTCAAGTGGACTTCCCCAATGGCTCCAACCGCAAGGAGAATGTTGCTCCCCCAACCAAAATAATCGGCCAGCCATAACAGTTCCGATTTTTACAGCCCCCCAATCGATAAGCGCGAGGGCGATGGAGAAGTGACTAAACCATACATTTCTTGGCGATTATCTCCGCCGCCTTCTCATTCTCATGTAAATCGGCCCCTCAGGGCGTGCAAGCTTGGCGGCATGTGTCAATAGACAAGGGGATAAAACCGCTCGGTCTGCTCTATCTCGATAATCTGCTGCAAGTAATTAGTATGTTAATGGCTCGGTTGGATGATAGCGGCCCGATAATCTCTAAAGGCTATTAGTTCCATTGCCTGCTATTAGTCGTATGCAAATATTATTCTGGCTGTTTTTAATTGAGCTTTCGGACGCTGATCGATATACAGGGTCTGGCGAGATCATCGTGCTATGGCATTGATAGGTAATCCCCATTAAAATAGGATTTATCCAGGCGACTTGAGAAAATCGACCTTATTTTAATGGTGTTTCCAATTCAGTCTTAAAGCGATTAGGGGCGAAAATCCCGTTTTTGTCATTGACCCTTTAAGGGTGTTAGTTTCGCTTTCCCTCCTTTGGTCTGGCTTTCTCTCCCTCGTACCTCTACGTGAGTCCTTTGTCCACTGTAGCATCTATATGTCACTTCTTTTGTCTGTCAATGTCAGTGGGTGTCGGTTTCAGTAAGGTTCGGGTTAGGGTTCTCTTTCTCAAAGAAGGTTGTATTCACATTAGCAAGGTGGAACATCTATGGGGCCGCAACCACACGAAGTCCGCTGTCAGGTTTCAGTGCTGTACCGTCTGCATACTCGGGCTGGTCAATCTGACAACGCTTTGTTAATTTTATCTTAACACTCGGTAAGTAAAGTACCCATTTATCTGTTTGTCGACTAATCCCCCCGGGCGCTAAGCGACTGCTGATGCCCCGAATCCTCTTCTGAGCCTTTAAGCAAGCTTATCCATTTTCAAAGCGCTTGTTTTTCAAATCCCCGCTCTTGATTGTGTTTTATCCTAATCCTAAAGGCAAAATAACCTGGCAGCCTTTTCAAGCGATTGTTAATCGGGCCGCTGTTTCACACGATTAAGCTGAAAACGACGTGTGAGGTGACTTAACGAAAAACGTTCCTGCTAAATTACAAATAGACATGTTGGAGCAGGAACTTGCCGGCTGGTTGCGCAGCGACACCTTTCACAGTTTTCGCATCGCCAGCGACACGTCGATGCCTTGTTGGCCTTCTCGTGTATGTTGAGCATCCTGTATATTTCCTTTGATGGGGTTCGATTTTGCGATGAAATGGGGCAACACTGCACGGTAGGGATGGGAGGAAAACATCGAGGTAATTGGTTCGATGTTTGATATTTTAACCATCGATGTTAGATCCTGCAATGAAAACATCGGACATTTGATGTTGATACTAGATAGAAACATTTTCTGCGAATTCTGATGGTGCCCAAGGGCGGATCCAGGGGGGTCTTGACCCCCATTCAATTCTCTATCCAACGATGCCAACTAAAACTTTCTAAAAAAGCCATTTATTTATGTCTAGAATGATGTTCAAATGAACGTTCTTGCTCATTTTGCGTCCGAGAAATTAGCAAAAACGGGAGGGAAAACATGGAATTTTGGCATAATCTTGCACCTAAGTGTCTGATATTCAAATTTCGCTTTCTGGGCTAAAACTATTCGAATTTCCTCACTCACGTTGTTGCGACTGAATCGACTTTTCAATTCTCTATCCAACGATGCCAAAACGAATTCTGTGGCTCGAATGGTTCTTGAGAAACTTCGAAATAAGCAACGTCATGTTCAAGTGGATTATGCAACTCAAAAAAAAAACCACGCAAATCTAAAACTTCTTGAATTCAAGCATTTTTTGAGAAAACTGCCAACACTTCTTTATCGATGGTTCACTTTCTAAAAAGGCCATTTATTTCTCTCTAGAATGATGTACAAATGAGCGTTCTTGCTCATTTTGCGTCCGAGAAATGAGCAAAACGGGACGGAAAACATGGAGTTTTGGCATAATCTTGCACCCAAGTGTGTGATATTCAAATTTCGCTTTCTGGGTCAAAACTATTCGAATTTGCTCACTCACGTTGTTACGACTGAATCGACTGCAATTCAATTCTCTATCCAACTTTCTACGAAGTTCGTACGACGGCGGACGAATTGACAGATTTCCAACCAATAGAAACACTTTCGTATCATCGTACCATCGTATAAACGGATGCATGGGACACCGGCTTTTTTTGCAGTCAGTTGACCGAAAAATGTGGCAAATATAAGTTGGATGACCCATCCGTCGATGTGTCGATGATCCATCGACATCGATGTCCCATCCCTACTGCACAGGAACAATTCAAATCACCCACCCCGGATTGGTGGCTCGTCACTAGATAATCACACTTTATGGCTTAGTTGTCAGGTTTTGAACGATTTCAGTAGTTATAGGAATTTTTACGATAAACTGGTTTATAACGTTAGCTCGTGCTAAAACTGAGACACCCAATTTACGCGGCATAAAATATAGATACATCCAGCGGCCGCCTAGTTAGCGGATCAAAATGTTTATGAACATCCGAAATAGAGTTATTTTGGCCGATTTTTCCAGTTGGTAATTTGTGTCGTTTTTTCCTTTTGATGGCGGTCGTAAATTCGTTTGAGCTGCGCATTTAATGTTGATGGGCCCGTAAAAATGAGCGATGTTGAAAATTCGATAAAACGTCTGTATTTGTTGCAGGAATATGTGAAGTGGCGCCGTCTTGGAAACAGAGGCAGGCGAAATGGCACAAACCCAAGGCGAGATCAGGGTGGGTCCCGGCAACCAGGTAAAAGATATTTATGTACGTTGGCCAATCTGATCGAACACACGGTAACATCAAAATTTTCTATTGGACAAGCCTTTTTGGGTCGGACTTTGCGCACCTACAGACGGACTTTTTGCATGAACTGTCAGCCGTTAGGCAAATGACACAAGTCTAGCTGTAAGCGGCGCTCCTCTGTAAATATCCAATCAATCCTGTCCTGATGATTGGCATGATATGTAGAACCTGTCTCGGCACTGGACCGATCCAAAGTACTCTCGACGTATTCGGCCAGTCCAACCAGTGTGTTTCGTAGATTAGTTTGGTGATTTCAACAACCACTAACAGCTGGGTTGATGTTTCCAACGCCTCAAACGATGGATTACCCGCCTCTCGGCCTCTAGTAGATGGTGCTTGATACTAACACAGTTGTAATGTGGTGGCCGGTGGCGACACCTACACTCAAGGCGAAGCTTAGTCAGGTGTTGTCACTGCGCCCAGAATGGAGATTTGCTCTGCCCTGCAAGCAGCCACGATTATTACATTTGGTCTTTTCTGTCTAGGCGAGGTTGCCAGATTACAGGCCGGGAATCGCTCCCGAGCAACTTTCTCCTGATCCAGAAGACACTCACATCCGCGAGGAACTGAGGTAGGCGCCAGTAGATGGTTTTTGAGCAAGTTTTCACAATTAGGAATGTTTTCCGGGCTTTGAAGCCCTGGTCTATGGGAATTTCTTCCTGACGTTTCGTCCACAACTGCGGTGGACATCATCAAAGGCGATGAGGCAGTGGGCGAAGTGATCTCCCGTGCTTTCCGACTAAGACGGAACTGTCTGACGTTCGTGACGTAAGACAGTTCCGTCTTAGTCGGAAAGCACGGGAGATCACTTCGCCCACTGCCTCATCGCCTTTGATGATGTCCACCGCAGTTGTGGACGAAACGTCAGGAAGAAATTCCCATAGACCACGGCCTCAAAGCCCGGAAACATTCCTAAATGTGATTTAACCGGCCGTGAAGGCCTTCATAGTCTGATAAGTTTTCACAACCTTGGTGGGTTTCAGATGGATACCAGGAATGACAATGGATTCCGATCTGCTGATGTACCTTCGGGCCGCCCGAAGCATGGCAGCATTTGCCGGGATGTGCGACGGTGGGTGTCCAGAAGATGGCGCTAACGCCGCCTCTAGGGACGACACCACTATCAACGCTCTCGACGTGGTAAGCGCCGCCTCTTGGCCTTTCATCTGGACAAACCGCACTGAACGTTTTTCGGTTGCAGTTGCACGATTCCGGTTACGATCCAGGCCGAGCCCTGCAAGCCTTGGTCAAGTGTCCGGTCCCGAAAGGCATCGACAAGAAGTGGAGCGAAGAGGAGACCAAGCGATTCGTCAAAGGCCTGAGACAGTTCGGCAAGAACTTCTTCCGGATCCGCAAGGATCTGCTTCCGCATAGAGACACGGTGAGTTTGCGTTTGGTCAAAAGGCGGCCGTTATGGCATGTGCACGTTGGTTTCCAGCCGGAGGTGGTCGAGTTCTACTATCTGTGGAAAAAGACGCCGGGCGCGAACAACAACCGCCCGCACCGCCGACGCCGCCAGGGATCGTTGCGACGCATCCGAAACACCAGGAATAGTAGAGGAGGTACGACGGCGGCAGGTAAGTTGTGGTGAACCGAGCTAGGGGTGGCCAAAAGAAATGCTCATATTCCACCTTTCCCTTCTCTTTTATAAGATCGTCCACTAACTGTCACATTTGCTGTAACTACTAACACTAAATGGCATTGCTGTGCTCCGCTCTAAAGTGATTGTCGTCATTTGGGGTTGTTTTGTTGCAAATAAACCTCCCCGAGAAACAAAATTTTCACTTAAAAAGCAAAAGCCGCATTATTCCTCGATCATTTGGTGCATGCCGTAAGCAACTTTTGGTAGTTTATCAGAGTGTTCGTAGTCCGTCCGGCTTCATACGTTGCGTATGATGTAAAACAACTTCAAAATATGAGCATTGCAAAACACACTTTCACGTGTTTCATTTTGTAAAAGAGAACAGTCGCGATAGCCGATTTAACGGCTCTTGCGTTCAAGATTTTTTTAGGCCGCCTCTACAAAATATACAGGGCCACAACTTTACACACGTTTTCTTTATCCGTATTGGCATTTAGTATTTGTGTAGTGACCTGTATATTTTCGTAGTGCATCTTGATTTGACATTTTATTGTAGTCGTTGATCTACTGGTTTGTTTTCAACTTTGTACAGTCACGACAAGGTCACAACTTTGTCAGCATTTTTTCGGCATCAATTTGCTCAGTTGGCCTTGTCTTGGCTGCTCAGAATCTAAGGGTGGAGGCAACTTTCGCTCGAATTCAAATTCGAAACCCATTCCGAAATGTGACGTAAAGTTGCGTTCTAAATAAGCAATTAAACACTATGTGTATGTATCTAAAGGCCGCACGAGCGGAACGGCAACACCCGCCCCCGAAGCCACCGAAAATCGACCCTCTCCGCACCCTTGCGAAAAGAAGCCCGACGAAACGAGCTCGGTAACAGAGGACGATAACGAGAGTGAGGAGGACAGCGACAGCCGCGATGCCCACTATAGGTGTTCGCACTGTTTCACCACAAGTACGTAACTCCTAAGGGCGGTTTTTCCTTTCAGACTAGTACACACTATACCCCGAGGTGAGAATTTCCTGCCGAAGTTTCTATACTAATTTATTTGCCACCGTAATGATATATATCCATAACTCGGTTTTGCACGCTCTGGACACCTAATTTACATTTAATGACACAATAAGTGGTTGGTTAAACTTATAGTATACTAACTATATATATATAGTAGTAATTGACATTAGTTTTGTTGACATTGGTGTCACATTTGTGTCTAGCTGTGAGAGTCTAAGTATTGCTTTATGTTACAAATGTCATCAACTCCAATAAGTAAACGAGTCTGAGACGTCTCAACTGTCACTCGACAACGCGTAATGTGACGTTTCGCAGCGCCACCATCGGTAGTTGAACTCGCGAGCTGTCACTGTTACGGTGGGGCGAAATACGTTTTTGCGTTATAAAACGTTTTTTTACTACTAGCCTGAGAAGTGGCCATTATTTACTCCATTTCCCTAGTGCTTGAGTTTTTCATTATTTTCGGTTTGCTCACCTGCTCAAGGTTCAAGTGAGATTCCACCCGTTTCCACGTCTAAACCACTGCAACTTCAAGATTCACTAATTTTTCGCTTTTCCCAGAGGTTTTTCATGGAACTTTTATCTGTCTAGGAGTCCGATAAGTCATATCGCGGCAGTTTGACAACTGAACGTCACTGACTATCAAACCTAGTGACACTTCAGACAATTCATGGGAAATTAAAATTTTAATTAAACTGATTTAGGGAATTTAGTCTGTGTCCCATGCATCCGTTTATACGATGGTACGATGATACGAAAGTGTTTCTATTGGTTGCGGCGGACGTCGTACGAGCTGACAGATCTCCAACCAATAGAAACACTTTCGTATCATCGTACCATCGTATAAACGGATGCATGGGACACGGGGTTTTCCGTGTTAGTAGTAAAAGAAATTACTTCTCGAGCTAGGCGAATAATGTGCATTTGGGTATTTTGCCTCAAATCTTGGTCTTTAACCATATAGAGCTTATGTACAATTTTACTTGTTAAGGCTCCAAAGACTGGCAAGCTGGAGGCAAAGACAAGCAGATGTTGTGTTGGGACTGTCGCGCCTACTTGCGCAAAACCAACGAGCTTCCTCCATTGACTGCGCCGGCAGCCACCGCAACCACACCACCTGCAGGTAATCGGGCTTCTTCGTTTCTCCCACTTAGCGTCACTCAACCGGAATGTGTTTTCTGTTATAGAGGGCCCCGACCAGAGTCCACAGCGGATGCGCACTCGCAACAAGGGCAGCAAAGAACCGGCCAGCAATCGGGCCCGAGGCAAGCGAGGTACGATTTATTGCTCTTTAATCGAAAGACGTGAACGACGTTGCTCTTGTAGAAACGCCAGAACCGAAAACGCCCGTAAAACAGAGCGGATACGCAGCCAATGACAAGTTGGGTGCCTCCAGTAACGGGCCGAGTACTCCGGGCAAGAAAAAGGGCAAAAATGACACGGCGAGCAAAAGCCGGAAAAGAACACAGGTAAGTGCTAGCGCAATCTTGACATCTAAACGCAACAATAACTTGCTGGTCTCCAACACAGGATAAACTGGAGGAGATCGACCAGGACGACAAGGATGCCGGCTGCATTTTCAAGAAAAAGCGGGACAGAGCTGATAGCCCAGCCAGCATCACCTCCGATTCGGGCTCAGTTAACGAAGACGTTGATCATCCGGACACCAGCCAGGACAACAGCAACAGTGCTGACCTTAGCACGGGTGCGGCAGCGCCTCTAGCCCCGGTTGCTGGCGTTAGCACGATCGTCAGCTCGAGCACTAGCAACCCCATCCAGGTAATTTGGTGACATTCCCGATTCAACGGACTACCTAATTTACCTAATCCATCCAACATCTTCAGGAGCCAACCAGTGCAAAGTCCGCAGTTAAACCGGAGGAGTCCGACGCTAAAGCAACCGCGCCGATCATCGCCCCTTCTATCCCAGTGATCACATCCGGCAAGCTGCAAGTGGCAGCTTTAGCAGAGCCGATGCCCCTCAATGTGTCTATTCGCCTCCCAGAGGACATCAACGAAAGGAAAAACCTCATCAAACGGTAAAGAAACAGCCCCGCTCCCGGCGCAGTGGCTAATTTTTGTGGTGCGCAGGAATCTGGAGGCAGCCCTTGATATAAAGGACACGCTCAAGTTCAATCCGGCTGGACTGCAGTTCGCGCAGCATCAAGAAATGAAAAAAGATCCGCCGCCCATCAAAGAGGAATTAATGCAGCCCAAGAAGGAGGAGTTTCAAGAGGAGCTCAAAGAGCCGCAGGCGATTCATTCGCCGCCCCTCCATCTTGCGCCGGCATTCGACCAAAAACCCGCTTTCAAACCGGAGTTGGTCGTTCCTAAGGTACTCGCAGATTACAACGACGAACCCCTTGGTCTTACACGTGGATTGCAGGTGGAGAAGCCCATTATCAAGGAAGAGCTTGATTCCAGCAACGATGCTTCCCTGCTGAGCATCAGCTCAAAAGAAGATTCAAGCAGCCAGCCCTCATCTCATAGTGTGGGCAACTACAAGGACAACTCGATGTATTTGCACTCGAACATTAGCTTGAAGGAGAGCATCAGCTTTGGTAAGCGCTTGCCACGTCCAATCGGAAACGGATCTAATTCTTAAAGCGGCTTTAGGAATGAAGGATCCTCCTTTGATCAATCACCTGCAGCCGAATCACGCGATGAATCTCAAGGAAAACAAAGAGCCGATTGTAAATATGAACCACTCGAGCTACATGAAGGGCGGTGGTCCGCAGGACCAGCCGCCTTTCTACCAAGGCAGAGAGCCTCCAAGGTACATTGCAAACTTTTGCGCTCTTCGTCTTCCACGTTACAATCAATTGATGTTTAGAGAGCAGCCGAGCAATTCAGACAGTGCAGTAATAAAGATGGAGCCTCGAGAGGAACCAATCGAATTGACGAGTCAGAGTCGCAGCGAGCCGTCGCCGTTTGTAGGCATGCAACCTCTTAATATTGCCCAAAGTGTTGCCATGTCGCAACATCTACCTCCCTCGGTTCAATCTTCTCGATCCAATGAGGTGGGTAGTTTCGACATTGCAATGCTGGTCTCTTAATCGGATCTATTTCAGGATGAGAAGTCTCGACAGGAGAAACTTGAGCGGCCTGAACGTATAGACCGGCCAGATCTGCCTCTTCCCAGCTCAGTGGTCTCAATAGGGCAGCCTCCGTTGCCTATGCAATCTGGCAACTTGGTCACGATTGGAGGCTCTCAGCCTCCACCTTCGATTGGTCATTATGGCTTCATGCCACCCTACGGGCGACCTCACTCCCCTAGAAGTGTCGACAAGCCTCTTCAGACCCAGCACTTGCAACAGCAACAGGTGAGTTTCGTTTTCCGACGAGATCCATAAAAGTGTTGGCAACGATGCTCGGAACCTGGCCTAAATTAACGCTGTTTTAGAGCGAGCCTCAAAATTTAAAAATCAAGCAGGAGGTGCAGGACCCGCCAACATCGCATTCTGCATCAGCGGGTTTTGCGAGCAATTACAACTCGTGCCCTCCCAACCTGCCACCGGCATCTCATGGACTATCCTCATCTTCCGGGTTTGTTCAACCGCCGCCCTCTCATATTACTGATCCGCTCCAGGGCTTGAAAGAAGTCAAGGTGAGCCATATTGACCGCCACGGACATTAACGAATTCATTCGACGAATCAGAACCCGTTCAGTTCTTCCGCAGAACTGAACGCGGTTTCTGATGAGAACAGTGTGAGCGTTCAAGCAAACCACGTCTGAAGATGCAAGCCACTCGTGCTTGCGAAACGTCAAGAAGAAATTCTACCGAACGACGGCCTAAAAACTCGAAAACCCCATTAGAAACTAATTATGTTTGTTCTGTTAGGTTCCTGGCTATTTGCCGCCGCCGCCGCATGCACTACCAGCACCCGATCGAGGCGTTTCTGAGCGCCCCCCTTCAGGGCCAAACATGGACGCTATTAAGAAGGAGCAGCTAGACTTTGGGGCGTCGGTTAGTAGCCGAGCCAGTCCCGCTCAATCGGGCGGCAGCGAAAAGTGCTTGACGCCCAAAACCAGTAGCACTCCAACCCCTCAGGTAGAAGAAGAAGGTCTTAATACTTCTTTGCCTAAGTGTAATGAGTGGTGGCGGCAGGTGGTCTCGCAGACGCCTCCATTGCGGCAGCCGAACTCTTCACCCCATTCGGCCATTAATCTCATCAGTCCCGGAAGCAGTACGGGGAGTATAGGGGGAAGCGGGACACCGTCCTCCCACCCTTCAGTGTCTTTGCCAGCGTCGCACCCGGCGCAGCCGCATGCGTCCTACCCCAGTCCCATGCCGCCCCCTCATTTGATGCATCCCTCCTTTATGCACGTGAGTAACCATTGAGTGTCTAACTCGATTGGAGCACACTTATGGTGTTGATGTTTTTCAGTTTCACGGCCATCCGGGTTATCCGGCTTACCCGTTCGGTGCGTACCCCTATCCGTACGCGGTCCCGCAGCCCCACGCCATTCCGCCACCTACTTCCCGGGTGGAAATGAGTGGGCCCCCGAAAAGCATCGACACCGTCAGCGCCACCGTGATGTCTTCACAGCACAGCACTAGTAACACTCTAACCACCAAGCGGGAGACCAGGGAGGCGGACGAACGTGGCGGCGAACGCCACCAGAGCCACGAGATGACACTGACGCACCATCAGAGCACCTCGCACAACAGGTTTGGCTTGTGGCCGAAGGCTTTTTGCCGTGGAAGACTAAAGGGTGTGTTGTTTTTAGCTCGATCCACGCCAGTGTAGAGAAGCAATATGGAGGCGGCAGTCACAGCAGCATTACAATTTCGCACAGCACTAGCACTAGTTCTAGTCACCAGGTGCAGCACAAGGTGAACCAGAAAACGCTGCCGCCTAGATCGGTGTCGCCGGGTGGCCACCAGCAGCAAACGACCATCCAGCAGAGCAGCTCATCTTCGACGACGACGAGCGGCAACCAGCAGCATACTCACCACCACACGCACACCCACCATGACAGAATGTCGCCGCAACTGCTGCGCCTGAAGTCTGGAGTGCCCGCACCGCAGGCCAATGCGCATCACTTGATGATCCAGCCGCCCAATATGGGACACCATCCCTCTGGTCTAGGTGACTGTTTCCTCCTGATTCAATTGTCACTGTCTTCAATTGTTGTTTTTCTTTAGGGCCTCCCTCGATGACGGGCAGTTCTCTAGATGCGCTTAGAGCGCACGCAGCTCAGGCTGCAGCCAACATGCAACAGCAGCAGGTGGGTTTCGATTGCTCAATTCATAGGTTTTGAAAACTGTGGGTTAACAAAGTCCCAATTGGAAGAAAGCGCGGATTACAAGCATGCTTCTTCAGGATTTTATGGTTTCCAACTATTTCAATGGTTCATTTATGCTGCAGCAGCAGCAACAGCAGCAGCAGCAACAACAACAACAATGCTCAATGCACCCTCCAAGCACATCGCCGATGAATGCGCCGCCCAAAAGTATCACGGATGAGCTAGTTAAGATCGAGCCGGACCACGAAGGCTCCCCAGAAGACGACAGCCGAAACAGCCCGGTCGCACCGCCAAGGTGAGTTCAATTAGCCGGCGTCCAAGACCCATTTAATGGTTGTGCGCCCCCCTTCATATGGTGTTGTTTCTTTTCTAGCCATGCTGGAATGTTAGAATGCAGAGAGCCGGAAAGGTCTGTTTCCCACTCGACTAAGGGACAGCTTTTGAACTATTTGAGACGAAGTTGCGAATCTCATCCCAAACTTTTCATGCTCTCTTCAACCCACTGTAAACCGTGAGGGTTTTCTAATGGTTCTTTGGTTTTTTATAGGGTGCCGTCGCCAGAGCCGCGAATCGAAGATGCAGAGTGTCACCGCAGCCAATCAGCGATCTTCATCAGGCATTGGAACCGCGGAGACCACAATTCATGTGCGCGCACAGACTTGGCCTTTAAGGCCGTGCCGGACTCAAAGTTGGCTAGAAAGCGAGAGGAAAGATTACGCAAACAGGCAGAGAGGGAGCGGGAGGAGCGAGAACGGGCCCAACAGGCGCAAGCCCGCAAAATCCAAACGCCCGACAAGCCCGATGTCAAGCCGCCTTCCAGGTACCCATTCCATACCCGTAATTTCCAAGTGAAACTCCCATTTCAATAAGCGCGTGTTTCAGGGGCCCAATGGAAAGTATGTCAGGACCCTACGAACGGTTTCCCCGCCCGGGCTTCACCGATACGCCAGCGTTGCGACAACTCTCCGAGTACGCCAGACCGCATGCCGGATTTAGTCCTGGACACATGCCCAGGTAGGTTTGGCCTCTAGATACCGCCTGCGGACATCATCTGGTCGCTCACGAAAAGACGCAATTTTTTGTCGGTAAAATCGATGTTTTTCTATGGTTCTATAGATCATTGTTACCGCCCACCGTTATGGATCCCATGCTTCAGTATCAACTGAATAGCATGTATGGGCCGGGGGCTCGCGAGAGGTTAGAGCTGGAGCACCTGGAGCGGGAGAAGAGGGAGCGTGAAATTCGAGAGCTGCGCGAGCGCGAGCTGAATGATCGGTAAGTGGGGGGTTTGCTTGAAATGTATGCGACGTCAATGTGTGACATTGTTGATTGATGTCGCAGACTGAAGGAGGAGATCATGAAATCGGGAATGCGCCCGCCCAACACCATGGACCCCCATTGGTTGGAGATCCAAAGACGGTACGCAGCCGCCGGTTTGGCCGGCCCACCGGGTGGCCCGCCGGGCCTAATGCCCCACCACTTCGCCATGTACCCTGGAGGGGGAAGTGCGGCGCAACTCAGCCAATTGGAGCGAGAACGGTAAGACGCTAACAACACGCCCAATTGATTAGACAGTTTTTGGACATGCTAAATACTGTCATGCAGTACTAATGTTATTCCTTATTTTAATACTGCATTCGCGTTATTTCTGTAACGAAATGATAGTTATTGGAATGCCTAGTTCACTGCTTTCAGTATTAAAGATGTGTTATTGTGTAACCTAACCTTACACAATTTATTATTAATCATTTTACGTCGGTGTATTTGTATTTTTTACTTTTCAATTGGATTTTGGTTGCTGTTCACCATTTGCGCTTAATTGTTATAATGAAGGAAATTCGAGAAGCCACAGTCATAGGCGGAGCAAGTGAAAATGAACTTGAATATTACATTTTTGATAACACTTATATTTATAAACAGGGGTGGTTATCAGGCTGAGGAAAGAGAATATTTTTATTTAGAACAAATGTCCGATGAGTATAACTATATCTTGAAGTGCATACTATTCAAGGCTTAGTGGAGATACGAGGAACAGATACGATAAACAACTGAAGTTTTTGACCCTTGTTTGATCCCCTTGGTCATTACGGCTTGATATTTATAAGTTCCCCAACATCACGACGTATTTGGTGAATTACTTAATTTAACGCCGTAGTTTTTACATTGGATTACAGCTCAAGGCTTATAAAGATTTGCAAGTTTACAAGTATGCTGAGTCTGGCACCGGTCAAGAGATATCAGCTACACACGTTAGGGATAAAGCATTTATTTTTAACATAATTCTCATTTACATCCATCACTTGAACTTTTGCTTGCAAGGTGTACATTATTGAATTGCAAAAATCTCAATTCTGAAAAACACGACTTGAATATTCTTCAGTTAGGTACATCAGTTTGAACTGACTCACTAACACAGCTTCCATAAATCTACTTTGCTCAAATTTCTTCAATAAATTGTGAAACACTATCAAATTCTTGTGCACCATGCAGAAACAACTTCAGCTCGGACCTAAAAGCAGCAGCTTAAAAACATTATGCCTTTTAATGTTATAACCAACGTCTGGCTTCATTCCAGCTCTTTTTAAAAACCTTTTAAATAGGGAGTAGGCAGGCAGATTGACCCGGTTAGAGACTACAAATGTTTCCTAAATTTTCGTTGGGCAACACATCTGGATTAGTTTTGTCTTCCAAGGCAGCTGGTTTTCCTTCAATTAAATATAAACAGTAGCAAAAATCACTTTTTTGTACAAACACTTACCAGTTATGAAATGTCCTAGGCAAATACGAACATTTCTCATATAGATTTCACTTAGAGGCACCCGTTTTAAAGCCTTAACACAAGCATTTCGACGTTCACTAGAGAAAGCATTCAGATGATCTCTCTTTCTATGTCTCGCTAAAATCGGAAAAAAGAAACCGTATCTCGTTCAGCACGCATTGATCATTTAACGGCACTGCAAAAATGTGGCATTTTGAACCAATTGTATGAGTAATACAAGATTTAATACGTAGTTAAACGTAATGTTTACATATGTAAACAAGTGTCAATTGGAAATGGGTGAAACTGGGTTATGTTTATAATGAAATAACCTGCAAGCGGACGTCAGAAATGTCAACTGCCAGTTTAAGGTAGAAAATAAAACGTGCAGTGTTGGGGCACAAATACCACAGAACAGTATTTATTTTTTAGACTGATTTGCGCAGGCGTTTGTGTCAAAATAGCGCAAACTATAATACTGCATGAACGTATTGGYCGAYCAATAACTCTCTATTGTCTCTAAAGTTCGTTGAATCTTTCTAGGCTGGAGAGACTGGGAATTCCCCCGCCGGGGGGTCCTGGACCAGGCGGCCCCCCTGGGCATCCCCACCATCCAGCACATGCTGCCGCCCAGCTCGAAGCAGCTGAGCGCCTGGCTTTGGCCACAGATCCCATGGTAACTGTCTTAATGTTTTTAGGCCAATTAGTAAATCGCCTGTTTCTTAATGAATTTCCGAATTTCCGTCGTCCCATATTATCAAGTGGTTCTTTATCGTGTTGTTGAAGGTACGGCTGCAAATGGCAGGCATTTCCCCCGAGTACCATGCGCATACCCATGCCCACACTCACGCCCACACACACCTGCACCTCCACCCGCAGCAACAGCAAGCGCAGCAAGAAGCCGCCGCGGCTGCTGCGGCAGGTTTTCCGTTGCCAGGTCAGTGCATGCGCTCGTCGCCGGGCGTTCAGTGGAAAACTAATGGGCTTCCTTTTGCAGCTTCTGGCACATCGGGGTACCCCCGACCTGGCATGATACCGGGCCGCGACGGGCCTTTAGGCCTGCATCATCCCGATCTCCTGGGTAGGCCATACGCCGACCAACTGGCTCATCAGGTGAGAACAGGACTTCTTGTACTTATACGGTCAGGACTGGTTCCTATCTGCGCTTCTTATTTGTTCTTCAGGCTGCCGCTCACGAGCAACTACAAAGGCAAATGCTGCTGGAACGAGATCGGTTTCCGCCGCATCCCTCAATCGTTGCCCAGCACGAAGAGTATCTCAGGTCCGTTGATTTATCGATTAGTTTCGACTGGTGATCAGTTTGCAAATGCTTTCGCGTAGAAAACTTGCTTGCTGGGTGTTGCATGGCTTCAGATCTAGTTAGCGGATTTTGAGTGTCTTTAGCGAATCAAAGTCTGGTTGTGCATCTGTGGTTCTAGCGAAGTAGCTGATAATTTTCGGTATGAAGGTGACGGTTGCGTCGCAGTGAGCGCAGACTCTGTTAGGAAGTTTAGGCGAGAACCAATGAAAGCATGCGTTGGTAGCGTTGTTATTGGTATCGACTAGGACGTGCAGTAGTTGCCCTGTTGCCAGTATTTTAGTTCTGTGGACTTGCTAAGGCCGGCCGCACCCTGCCCTAAGACAAGCCGGTTGATTTGCTCGGTCTTGCAAATGTCTTGATGTAGACATTTTCACGATTCGGACGCAGACTAGAGTGTGGTCGGCTTATTTGGCCTTGATTCGATTTTTCAACCTGGAGTACAGCTGGAAATAACGCGGTTTAGGCGGTAGGCCACAATGGGACGTTTTCGCGTAAACTGCCCTATTTCCTGTGCACTTTAAGTTGGAGAAATTGTATGCGAGGTTGGCGCAGCACTGACTGGGCTTGAGCTCCTTAACCGTTCAAGAGCAGTGGCTCTCTATTGATGTAGCTCTCACATTCTAGGCAACAGCGCGAACGCGAACTTAAGGTGCGGGCTCTAGAAGAGGCGGCACGCGGATCCCGAAACTAAAGGGTCTTAGGTAAGTAGATGCACGAACTGTCTAAGATTTCCTTCCTACGCGTCATTCTCGTAACCCTATTGTTCTTAAAGGCGTTGCGCCGCCACTGACCCGCTCAAGGGTGGCACCTTTAGGTTCGCAACAGGCAGAGTCGAGCCACAGTCGAGCGTTCGCGCCACAATCCGAAATGTTCGCGAGATTTTGCCCGCAATTTTTACGCAATTTACTTTCAGACTAATGAGCCAAAGTTACGCCATCATGCAGCAGCGCCACTGACTGGCCGCGGACCACGGAACCGACCCGCCCTCGCATCTCTTAAGAGGGGAACGCTCCCATCAGCTACGCTCCCATCAGCTACGCTCCCATCAGCTGAACGCATTAATATCGATCATTACATGATAATCTACATAGAAGTTTACTTTTTTAAACTATATTTTGCAAACGAACGATACAGTCAAGAGAGTTTTTGTATGACGCTGTGGTTGTTAGACTTGACCGTAACTTATTAAAGTTTAGTATTTATACACATGTAATTAAAGTGCAGGAAATCCGAGGCGTCTGAACCTCATCTGACCGGTTCACAGTAATATCATTTGAAGTGAACCCTCCCTTTTGAAAAGCCACTTTTAGCCGAGAAAAATTGAATTAAATACATTCAGGCGCCTCCAAACGTTCCAAAGGGCGTTTTTTAACAGAGCTTTAACATGTACCCCTAGTGGGGGTTGCCAGTGCTCGTGCACAGGGCGAACGGGTTTTCGCTCCGTGCGCGAGCGCTGACTTAGACTATTTTAGAGGTATATTCCAACTTTTTTAGAGTTTATCGTACAAGCGCGCCCGGTTTCTACACATACAAGACCGAGCCGTTCTGACATTTAATGTGATTCGGTTGTTTTCCATTATTCTCATAGTTTATTGTTTGCGAAGCCCGGTAGCATATCGAGAAAGTTTCTTGGACGCGACGCTAGTGAGGAGGCCGTCGGTATTTGTCCTCATTGAGATTAAAATAATGAAACAGTTCCGAACATTCGTTCTACTAGACCCTCTGTTAATAACAGATATTGTCTACTTGAACGCTCCTCTCGCAGATTCCGGGTTTACTAAACAATAACCGGGCTGATTAATGTCGCGTTCAGGAAACTTCTATGGGCCGCAAGGATGCAGTTCGAATTGATCTGAAGCCGACAAAAAAATTGTGGAAAATATAGTTTCCTACGAAAGGCTGCCAGATCTACTCGCAGCAGCCTTACGCTATATTGTTTCAGTTTTACGTTTTTGCCGCGTGATTTTCGTTTTTTTTTTTTAACTTAGTACTTACTGTGTATTTCGTGTACATTTTTGTTTATATTTTTATTTGTAAAAGCTACGTCAATATAATGTTTTTACCAAAAAAAGTTAGTTTTTTCCTTACTAGTACTAAGTGAGCAGGTGATTCAAACTTGGCATTCAATCACCATTGAGTTTGGAAAACTTGCAAAAAATTCTGCAGGCTCATAAAAATCAGAAACGTTTCTTATGGAAAAGGGATTCTTCGTTTGACGAGACGTTGTGATGCAAGGATGAAGTTTTCGGACGTTTTTGTGGGTTCAACAATTGTTAATCAAACGTATTTGTGATATAAAGTGCAAATCGAAATCAGAGCAGAAAACAAAATAAAACCTTAACTTAGTTTGATTGACTTGGCCTAATCGTCGAAAAAACAAGAGAATATATTTCTTTGACAGAAAAAGTGCACAGTAACTAAAAATACGTTAGCCAAATAAGTCACCAGTCGCATTCTTCATCCTTTTTCTCCCAATTTGATTGACCCAAACATTACGAAGAAAAGAGATAGACTTTCGAGGCGATTCCTTGAAACTGGTGGGTTTTTCGGGTTTTTAGCCCGTCGTAAAAACCCGAAAAATCCACTAGTTTCAATCTAATTTTGTTATCAAAAGAGAGACTGACGACGCCATTCTTTGAAACTAGTGGGTTTTTCGGGTTTTAGGCCGTCGTAAAATGGAATTTCTTCCTGACGTTTCGCAAGCACGAGTGGCTTGCATCTTCAGAAGTGGTTTGCTTGAACGCTTACACTGT